GAAGTTGGGGATGATCTGTCTGGAAGGTTTTTCTTCTTTTCTTACCTCGCTGTGTTTTTCTTTCGTTTCCCTTTTTCCTTTTTTTTTTTTAACCGCGCACTCCTAATTCCAAAGGCTCACTTTCCTTTTAACTAACCTATCACTACCGTGAGATGCTTTTGGCGGGGAGAAAGGCGGGTGGGGTTACAGGTTATTTTTGCCCGTTCGCCCACTGTGTGCTGCCCAGAAATACGCCACGTAACTGCTTTTTGACCTCTTACCAACCACACTGATTGTGAAGCTTAACCCTTTGCGAGCGAGACTCACCTATAAAATTTAGCATCCGTTCTGGAACCCAGAGGAATTTTGCGGCTGGAAAGTCTGCCCCCAGGTTGTAGAAGGGGCAGATACGGTTGGGGTGAGCATGCCAACTCATTTCCCCACCCAGATCCTCCGGTTTCACAGGGGCACAAAGAAAGTGAAGCTCGCCCACACAGTAGCCGAGACGTGTTTTTGCACACCAAGTGTCCGTTGGGATCTTCCACCGCAAATGTTTCCGGGCAGGGGCTCTAAGCAAAAATAGAACTAATACTTGCTGCCCTGCGACATAAGAGCGGTCTGTTTGCCAAGTTAATGCTTTGGGATTTAATCTGGATTTTGAGAGTCCCCGCTCCCAATTTTGGCTTTTGTTAATTTCCAAAGTTTAAAACCAAGCCATGTGTTTACTAGTCATTTGTGGGGGGGGAAGAACAAAGCATCCTTAAATTACAGTTGAGCCTCACGGAACCCTCCTTAGAGTAACAGGAAGATGGGTCTTTTTGGATCACTTTAAAGACAGCTCTGACCAGCTACGCCTTTGATGCCAAGGCATTTTTTTCTCCGCTTGAAAGGCTCTTGCCACATGAGCAGGAAGCGTTCAAACCGAGCCAGTCATTTGTGCAAAGGTCTTCCACGCCTGTTTCGCTGTGCAAAGCCTCGCTCGAGTTTGTGCCCCTCATTGGCCAAGCCATGCTCATCTCAAGCAATCACTCGCGGCTTGTGTGTGTTGGGCCCGGATGGACGGCTGAGGACGCATTGCAAGGAGATACCCCCCTTTCCTTGAGACCCTCAAGAAATTAGCGCTTTTTGGAGTTTGCATGATTTTCTTTTTCCTTAACGTGGTTTGTGAAATGGGGCTTGAAATTAACCGTCCAAAGTTTCTTCACCCAGCAGGCTGGGAACTTGGTCTTGAAAATGACCTTTTCTGTGTTTATTGAATAGCCTGCTCAAACATCAAACATTCATTCATATAGAAACGTACAGAAGAATCTTCGGAAATAATTAGAAAGGAGAAATTGGTTGTGTCGCTCTCAATGCAAGATCGACTTTCTAGATTGTGTAGTGCCTTTGTCGGCATGGATGCACGCACACCATCTAGCGTGTAATCAGCGACAGCTGCTCATAAGGTCTTCACTGTCCCCCAAGATGATTTTCCAAAGGTGATAAACATCTTAAATTATCCTGGGAAAAATATTATGGAGGGTGGAGTGTGTGGACGTGTGTTTGCTCTTTTTTTTTGGTCTCATGTTTTCTTGTTTTATTTTATTTTATTTTTTTTTACATTTTGTAAACTGCCCAGAGTTGCTGGGAGTTGGATGGCATAAATTAGATAGATAGATAGATAGATAGATAGATAGATAGATAGATAGATAGATAG